CTCCTGTTTGCAAAACAAAACAAACATCCAGGCGCCATGGCTCATGCCTGCAATCCCAGCACTTTGGGAAGCCGAGGCGGGTGGATTGCCTGAGGTCAGGAGTTCCAGACCAGTCTGGCCAACATGGTGAAACACCGTCTCTACTAAAAATACAAAAAAGCTGGGAGTGGTGGCGTGTGCCTGTAATCCCAGCTACTGGAGAGGCTGAGGTAGGGTAATTGCTTGAACCAGGGAGGTGGAGGTTTCAGTGGGTAGAGATCACACCACTGCACTCCAGCCTGGGCAACAGAGCAAGACTCCATCTCAAACACACATGTACACACACACACAGACTCCATCTCAAACACACATCTACACACACACACACACACACACACACACACACACATTCCCACCTTCCCAGAAAGACATTCTAACATTCACGTAAAAAGTGTATAAAAATATTATGATTATTAGTTTATTTTCACATAGGGGCAATAAATGCAAATCTGTTTTAAAATAAAATTTAAATACAATATTAAAGTATGGTGACTCAGGAACTGCAATGCTAGGAAAGTGTTCCGCCCCTACCCCCTACTTGCTGTGTGCTGTTGCACTGACCACATCTTAAACAACAGTGATCTGGCTGAGATTCCAATTGAAAGCCACAAAGTGGGAGACAGTGCTTTGACTTTCTTTTTTGCAAGGGTGGGACAGAGATGCTCGTGTCCCAGTGGCCACATGGCAAGTCACCTAAGAATAAACTGTTGTTTCCACGTAAGAGACATGCTGCAGATCCAAACATGAGAATAAACCCTGCACAGTGAGTTGCTCCTTGTTCTGTAGTAATGAGTATGACCTTACCTTTCATGACCATTTCTCTTTCTTGACTGAGTGTTTGGGAAGTACTCCATGAATTAAAAATTAGCTTTTTGAATTGTATAATTCCTACTTCCCATAGGATGTTAATGTAATTGGTAATATTCCTAAGGACTAGTTGTCCTGGATTGAAGTTTGTGTACACATTTGTAAGGGAAGAGTATGATTCCTGCCCTGCTTTCCTCATAGGATTCTTCCAAGGATCAATAGAACCACTTTATCCCTAAAAAGATATAAAAATTCCTTGTTATCCATACAGCACTTCTGCAGAGTAGGTAGGGACAAGTACTTTTGCCTTTATATTGTCATATATATTGACACCCCAGAAATCATAATGAAATCTTAGGATTTTAGAATGTATCTAGCTATGGACTAGAACAATTTAATACTCTCTCACCCAAGTTTAACATTTGGAAAAAGTATAGAAATGTTCTTCTGTGAACGTTTTAACCATTTGTATCATTTAAGTTGGACTGTATGGGAAGCAAATCTGTAGAAAAAGTGGGAGCTGAAAGAATTGGGAAGAAAAATGGGTGGATGGCAGCACAGGAAGAGAATCCTTTTTCCACTTTGGCCAACACAAGTGAAATGTATTTAGAAGTAACTTGCTGAAATGTAGAAAGGGGAACATTGATTATAAGAATATTCCCATCAGCAGAGACGTTAAATAGAAATTACCTGTATTCATTTCATTGCTATTAATTTGAAGTAGGTATTGAATACAGTCTACTCGTTTAATGTGTTGTCATTATATTTTAGGAAATGGTGAAAAATTTCTCACTTTCATTGGTTCACACTTATTCTTCATCTGTCTTCTAAACTAATTATCCCACAAGTCCCTAAACACGTGGTTGCCCCTATACCGCAGGGCTTGTGGGGACTGCAGCTGTGTTGGCTAGCAAGGGGATATGGTAGAGATTTGAGTTGTGCACCTGGTAACTAAGTACCCAGAATTTTTCTAAAGCCCAGATCTGGTGCTATTTTCATTGTTTACCTGATCATCTTAATGAACTCCTTGAAGGCAGATAGTGCCTTGACTTGCCTTTGTGAGCTGAATGTTTACATTATGAAAGGATAATCGTTGACTTTAAGTGAGTGTTATCAACAAAGACCTGGAGGAAAGTATGATTTATTGACAAACTGGAGCAAATGACTTGCTTCCTTGTTAAAAGCTGTCATTACTCTTCTACCTGTACGTCTGTGGTATATTACCTTCTCTTACGTAACCACAGAAAGTTTTTTATTCACTTGCATTTGGGTTATTTTTCTAAAACACAAATCTGTTTGTGTCTTCTCTGCTTTGCGTTTTTTTTTTTTTAACATCCAGGATAAAAATTTCATGTCAATTTGGTTTGGTGCCATCTAACATAAACCCAGGCCTCGACACCACATCCTCCATCAATACATTGCCCGGTAATGCAGAAGCTTTCCATTACTGCCTGAAGAAGAAACCGCTAGAAAAGCCCATCAGCTGCCAAAAGTTATGCCAGTATATGATAATTACATCAAACAGTCCAAAATATTTCAAATTTTGAATTATTTACCCTTACTAATATTATATATAATTTACAAAGGTGGTTTTAAAAATTGACAAGATTTAAAGAGCAAATGCTTTTGTTTAATAAATGATAAACTAAAGAAAAAAGTGGAAGTTATTAACCAAAAAGTAGAAAACATTTACTAATGGTGTAGAAAGCAGTAATTATGGTCACTGCCTGAGATTCCAATGCTATGAAATTTTTCAGATCTTCATGAGAAGACAATCTAGAGATAACGGTGCTCCTGGGAATGGAGGGATGGATATTTATTTTTACATTTATTTCTAAATATAACTTTCATTTAGCACTTTAAAGTAGAAAGCAGATTTTTATTGCTTTCATGAGCATAAATAGGAACTCCAAGCACAACTATTTCATAAAATATAGATTTTTGTGTAAAACCTATATACTATAGATTTTGCTATTATATCTCATCATGTTTAAAAATATTACTTGTATATCTCTAGATACCATTTGTCACTAAAAGGACTCAGGAGCATTTGGAGAAATTACTGGTTTTAGGTCTGAGGCAAGAAATATGCAAGTTGGGTTTGGAACATCTTGTCATACTGGACAAGAAGAAGGTTATCAAAGACCACTAAGACTTTGTCAAAAGAACTCAGAAGCCAGCTTCAATAAGCTCTTGCAAGCTTTTATCAATGAAGGCATAATTTCAATGGATTGAAACATATCAAATATATTTAAGTCCATGGATTCATAATTATAGTTCAAGGCCCGGCACAGTGGCTCACGCCTGTAATCCCAGCACTTTGGGAGGCCGAGGTGGGTGGATCACAAGATCAAGAGTTCAAGACCAGCCCAGCCAACATGGTTTAAACACAGTCTACTAAAACTGAAAAAAAGAAAAAAATTGCTGGGCATGGTAGCACGTGCCTGTAATCCCAGCTACTCAGGAGGCTGAGGCAGGAGAATCGCTTAAAACCAGAAGTTGAAAGTTGCATTAAGCCAAGATCATGCCACTGCACTCCAGCCTGGGCATAAGAGTGAAATTCCATCTCAAAAAAAAAAAAAAAAAAAAAAGAAAAGAAAAAGAAAACTGGCAAATAGAAAGATCTCCTGCCTTTTCTTGATGACCCTGATCTCAGGGTACCTCAGAGGGAAATTTCTCTTGTAGAATCATTCCAGCTAGTAAAGGAAGAATGAAGAATAGAATGTCACTTTGAAATTTTAGTGAATTATTGGATCTAGGCAAATATCAAGCTAACGATATCATGGAAGCAGGCAGTCAGAGGTTACAGTTATAAGCCTCCTGATGGAAGTTCAAACACGGCATGAAATAGTCTGAGTTATTTTATACTGGCATAACTTTGGCAGCTGATGGGCTTTTCTATTGGTTTCTTCTTCAGCCAGTAATGGAAAGCTTTTGCATTACCAGGCAGTGTATTGATGGAGTATTAGGTGTCAAAGCCCAGAGTTATGCTAGGTGGCATCAAATCCCCATCCCCTGTTAGAACTTGAATACGATCAAGGCTCTAGATGGTATTATCAGTCTATAGGGATGCAGAGGGCAGAGGAACGTGTTAAATCACGGCTGTGTTACAATGAGAAGAATTCAGAATGTGGAAACTGTCAGACCACCCAGTGCCTTCAACAGCAGCTTTTTTTTTTTAATTGCAAGGGAAGATTAGAAACAGAAGAAACTTATAAAGGAATTTAAAGAATATATCAAAGAATCATAATGTGTAAACCTTATATGAATACAGATTCAAGCAATCTGAAGTTAAATTTGAATTATAAGATATTGAAATGCACATTTGATATAGGTAATTATTTTCATTTTTAGGTGTGATAATTTTTTTTAATTATCTTTCAGAGACACACAGAAACACAGGTGAAATTATGTGATGATTGGCATTTACTCCAAAATAATCTGGCTTGGTGGGCTAGGATGGGATTGACACAAGGGGAGTTGATAGGAGTATAAATCAAACAAGATGGTCAAGTACTGATGATTCTTGAATCCAAGGAGTAAACCTAACTGGTTTGTTATTCTTGTCTCTCTCCTTTTGCATGTATTTGAAAGTTTCCAAAATAGAAGTTAATACATAGCTACAATATATACATATCAATATATATGCATTCCACAAAATAGGTAAAATTGCAAAGTTTCATCCAGGTTTAAATGTTAAAAGAGAATCCTTTATCACTGCACACCTACTAGAATGGTCAAACTCCAAAACACTGACATTTGCAAGTCTTTGTAGTGAGTGCTATGAAATAATATATAAAACTAACAGATTACTCTGGTGTATACTGCTACAAACCTGGTAACTTTTTAATATCACATGCAGACTTACAGTCAAATGGGAGACTCTTAAATTGTGTTATAAATTAGGAATCTCAGAACCTGAAGAACATTTGGATTTAGTTCAAGAGATATAAAATGCTACTACATGAAAAATATGTGAAATTTAATAATTTTATGGCAAAGATACAAATTTTAAAAAGCTAAAGGGCTTAGCCAGAGCAGGACTTTTCATGCCGCGGAGCCCTGCTAGGGATCCTGAACTTGAATTGGTATCTTTTGTGTTTCTGAGTTCATTTTTCCTTTGTTGGTAAATAACTTCTTTGTTTTTTTTCTAGCTGGGGAATGGCAGTCAATGTGTATTCTACCTCGATAACCCAAGAGACTATGAGCAGACATGACATCATTGCATGGGTTAATGACATAGTATCTTTAAACTACACAAAAGTGGAACAGCTTTGTTCAGGTAAGACATCTTCTTTTAAGTGTTGACCTAAATGTTTATGGTCTGTCATGTGGAATGTGATTTTATGAACCATAGATGCTGTATTTTGGGTAGGAAAAAGTATATATCGCTATTGGCATGTAATTAAAGGGGGGAAACTCAGACATAACTAAAGGACATATTGGGGAAGTGTTTAGAGCATCCAGAAGCACAGGCAGGGCCACGTGGACACATATTTGGAAAGGTCTCTTGCTTGAGCTTTGTAATGCCTTCTCACCGGCTCCTAGCCTCTTCTCTGTCATCCCATCTGCTGTCACACTTGCCTTCTGAAAACACCAATTGGTTCTTACAACACTCCTCCTTCAAAACCTCCAGGGCTCCACATTGTCCTTAGTACAGGATAAACTTCAAACTCTCTTCATAGACTAATGAGGTCCTTATTAGTCTCAATTTCACCCTCTACATCTCTCTCCCTTATACTTCAGCCACACAAATCTTTGTTCCCCAAAGACTCCTTTCCTTTTGTATCCCATAGCTTTTTTCATGATTCTTTTGCTAAGGTCTTTCCCCTTCTTTTCATTTGTGGGAAAATCTTGTTCACACTGTCAAATCTGGCTCACCTGCCACCTGCTCTGAGAAGCATTCCCCAGCCTCCCAGGCCCCGTGGTGTTCCTGAAACACTGCCCATCCTCCAGAATGACACTTGCCATGCCTTGTTAGGCTGTCTAACTCCTCCTGCCCCTGAAGGTGTTCAGAGTCCTTGAGGACAGGAATGCATTTTGTTCTTTGTTGAGTGTCTCTAGATGCCTGTACTTGATATGATGTATGTCTGCAATGAGTATATATATTGAGTTAAACTTGCTTAAAAAATAAAAATATTTGACTTCAGTGATAAAATAGGAGCATGTTTTAAAAACATGCTGCTAGGCCAGGTGTGATGACTCATGCCTGTAATCCTAGCACTTTGGGAGCCAAAAAAGAGAGGATCACTTCAGCCCAGGAGTTTGAGGCTGCAGTGAGCCATGATCGTGCCACTGCACAACAGCCTAGGTGACACAGTGAGACCCTGTCTCTAAAAGAAAACAAAAAATATGCTGCTAGTAAAGTAATCCATTCTTTGGTCTGAGTATTTGTGAAAGAAATAAACAGTCCTTCTTTGGAACAGGGAGTGTTTCCTTCTTGTAAACAAATAGATAAGAGATTTCCTCTTTGCCTTTGGCTTCAACGTAAAAATGGTATTAGAAATAGAAAATACCACTGAACTGTATTTGTGTAAAATGTCATGAGCCAGAATAGATATGAAGAAGTCAACATTTTGCTGTTTCTCCCAGACGGTCAAGTATAAAAAAGATTTTATGTGGTGCCGTTAGAATTTCAAAAGCCCCCAGTAGTCACTTTCAGATGTTGTCTGAGTTCAACACCCACCAGTATAAATATTCTCCCTTTACCGGGTCTGGATTTGATCAGAATACTAGAGAACTAACTTTGAATATAATTGACATCTCTTTCCCCATGATCATTTTTCCTACATAGAGGACAGTAAGGTTGGCCAGAACTTAGGCCCTGCCTTACCCACAAATCTGTGCCCAGGTCTCACACTTGAAGTCTTGTGATTTATGAGGTCAGTAGTGGGTGCTAGCTAACCACTTCTTTGCCCTTCAATACAAGATAGAAAAAGCTGACTGAGACAATGATGATGATGTTCCAGGCATATATATTGTCAGTCTACTGAAATGTCTCTAAAAGTTACTTTGAGAGACAACTCCTATTGCATCCTATGCAACTTCAGATCTCCACACACCCAAATATTACTGCGCTTTTCTTGCTGTGCGTCTTTGAGCTCTCTAATATTTTAACTTGCTGCCAAAAAAGAAACCAAGACAGTTTCTGTCACTAGCAAGCACCTTGTTCATAGCACATACCCCTTTGTATTGTAATTGTGAAATTGTCTGTTTCTTCACAATGCCTAACACATGGTTTTCCCTCAGAAATGCTCATTTAGGAGATGAATGAACTGCAGTTTGCAACTGCTAAGGGGCAAAGACAAAAATGTGTCTCTTACCCACAGAGTAGGTTTATGTGTGTCTAGATAAGGGAAACAGGGTTGGTTATCAAGAAAAAGAGACTTAGGAAGGAAGGGGATAAAGAAAAGTTTCACAGATAAAATCCCCAGTCACGAGTCTTAAATATTAAAGGAAACCATGAGGAGCTTCCTATGCTGCAATATACTTGGAGAGTTTTTGGTAGCAAATGAAATAAGAGCAAATTGTAATTTTTACATAATGTAGAAAATGTGTTTATAAGCAATATACATAATCTTTGCAGGTCTTTAAAATTTCTCATAGAGCAAACTCAAAATCTTAAGGGACATTTGTAAAGGATTCATATATGGTTATCTGAAAGCATGGATGTACATTTCCAGTCTTCGTAGCTACGTTGCCATCAAGTGTGGCTTGATTTAAAAACACAAAAAACCTGCAGAAGCAATTTTGCTCACTATTAAACAGATAAATGTGATTTCCATTAGGATAACGTACTGGCTACCTAAGATTGCAAGATCAATGGTTCGGAAGAATGAAGTAGATTTAAAGGTTCCTTTCTGCTCTGAAATATGTTTCTTGCTAGAAAAAAGAAAAGGGAAGTTAATCTCCATAGTAGAGAGATAGGTCTTTTATTTTAGGTAGCAGTTTTCTCAAAGTATATACTGTAGACTCTATGCTTTTATAATTACCTGGGGAGCTGCCGAAAAAAAAGCAGATGACCTTCTAAATCGGTACCTCTGAGTGTAGCCTAGAAATCCGAGTTTAACAAGTACAAGTTTAAGTACTTTTGTGCTGCAGCCTAGAGCTTGCAGTACATTTTACCCCAAACCAATAAAAATGAGGTTAAATTATCCAAAACGTACTTGGAAGTTTCCTTATTCATAATTCAATCTGTGACTTTTGTCCTCAGCAATGGCATTTAGCAGAAAGAAGCTATCTATTTATTTATTTATGAATTTATTTATTTATACCCTTCATTGTTCTAGAAAGTATTTAAGGCAGCCAGGACAGTGCTATTAGGGTAGGAAGAAAGCCAAATGTTGTTGACTTAAGTGACTTACACTCCTCATACTTATGAGTAGTCAGATTTCTTAGGTAATATTTTTTCTTCAATGTTTATTTTAATTTTTTTAGTTTACTGTATGGGATTTTATTTTAACAGTATGCCCAGGAAAAACATACATGAAATGCTTTCTCCTATTTAAAATGACTTAAAATTTCAACATTTCTTACTCTCTTTCCTCAAGACTTATGCTCCAATCCTGGTGATTCCCATTTTGAATTTTTTTCCTGTTGCATTATTTCCTATTTCTGTTTTTAAAACTTTCCAGCTAAGAGATCTCCCTCCAGCTCAATATTAAAACTAACACCAGCTTTTCTTTAATTCACAAAATGCTAAAAGACTGCCTCACATTGGTGGTGTGTTTTACTGAGTATTTTCTGCCTTTATATAGCATCTCATTTGTTTCCATGTATAAATTTTTAAAAGTTCTTTAAAGGAAAGATGGTGTAAGAAAGGAGAACACTTGGAAATATGTTTGTAGTAAGTTGCAAAACAATGAAAATGACTCACTCTTATCTCCTGTTACTTTGTCCCAAGAATATAACCTCATGAAAATTTTCTTTGAACATTAAATCTGGGTCTTGTAATTATAGGCTCATCTGGTTTTCATTTATTTCTTGTGACAGCCTTTAGGTTTCAAGTAAAAACATGAGCTGTATAAATGGAGAATGGACTATCAATGAATAGTCCTATAATAATACCTATAATAATTCAGCAATCTACTGCTCACCTAAATCTATTTTTTAAATGAATAATTATGGATTTCCCATGGTGGAGTGAGAAGGTTGAACCACATGTAATATCAGATTGGTTCAGCTTATAAATATTTTCCATTTTAATTCAATTGCTATATAAAAGTTAAAGGGCTTTGGGGGTAATAGGGAACTTTTTTTTTTTTTTTTTTTTTGCTTTAGTACTAGCTCAAAGTAAGTAACTAAATCTTTTACAAGGTAGTGATGAGGGTGAATAGATAGTATGGTGCTAAAAATCTCTGAAAGCTTTAGCAATTTTAGATACCTTAGTGGAGGTGATAGAGAAGATAAGGTGCTTAAAGGGGAAGGAAAAGAAATGGGGAGGGAGGAGTAGAATGGAGCAGGAGAAAGTGCATCTTTTCCTTCTTTTCCTCTCTCTCACCCCTTGCCCCTGCCCCCACATATCAAGCCTCCTTGGAGACTTCTTTGTGGCGTTTATTTTTCTGTGTCCTGATCCTCTGCCCTAGGCTGGAGCTAAGCAGCAGAGCCACTAGGTCCAATGCTGGGTCATCCTTGCTGCTTGGCAGACTGAGCACCTTGATTCCTGTCCTCATGAGGCTGGCCTTCCCTTTTCTCCCTGTGCACCTTCTCTCCCTCCTCCCCAATTGCTCCACTAGACAGCAGACACCTGACTTGCGACAAATGCTAGATACAGTCTGCATGTAGTACTGGCACTGCCTGAACTGACACTATACCCTGGACTGTCACTGTCTGTCACTGAGAACTGTTCTTTTCCTGAGCATTTTAGTATTTTAATAAAATATCATTTGAATTAAACCATTTTTAGATGGGAAATTGAGATTCTTGACTTGCTTTATAAAAAAGAGAAAATTATGAGGATTTGATTCAGTTTCAATTTGTGCTTCATCAAATTGGTTCAAGCTTTGTCTTGGATCAAATCACTGGTATTTTGTTCTTCCAGGAGAACTTCTGAATTTGGATAATGATTCTGTAGTCACATTTGCAATTCTGGTTACGTGATGGCTGTGTGGAAGGAGCTGGTATTTGGAGTATACTCTGGGGATTCACGCAGGTATATCCATCAGATGGCCCTGGGACCTGTAGTGCAGGTGCTCCGGGCCCCACCTCAATGGCCATCACTCCTGAGCCCAGCAGAGTGGTCTTTGTGACCATTTTTTGCCGCAGATCAGTGCCTGTTAAATA